TAGTGTGTGTGTGTGTGTGTAGTACTATATATATATATATATATATATATATATATATATATATATATGTACGTTTGTATGTATATATATATATATGTATATGCGTATATGTGTGTGTGTGTATGTATGTACACGTATACATACATATATATAGTGTGTGTACACGATTCTGTGTGTACGTGTGTGTCTGGTGTTTGTGTATATACGCGTACACATACATATATCTATATTGTGTGTATACCTGTCTGTGAATACATGTGTATACGCGTCTGTGAATACGTGTGTATGTGTATGTGTCTGTGTGTCTATGTATGCACACGTTTGTGGATGTGTATTTGTGCACGTACGTACACTCGTGTGCCAGGTGAATATGAATATCGTGTATCGCAGACAAAAAGATCGTGGCATTGCAATGATTATATGTGCACTTTATACGTTTTCTCATCTTTCGCAGGGATGTTCGCATACATATTATTGACATGGCATATCTATGACTGGCCGACCATATATTTCTCGTTTATCGGTATACTGTCAGGGAAATTTGCGCATCTCTTCCTGTCGAGAGAGAAAGAGAGAGAGAGAGATCAGAGAACTATCACATAATTGTTGTTTGTTTTTTTAAATCCCCACCAAAAGCAAACTCTTGGCCTTGGGTGAACATCATAAATACATACTCCCCTCAGGGCTCAGAGGCTCATCAGACTCATCACAGTCATCAGGCCTCAAGCCCCAACTTCAAGCCTGAACAGGCGGATTGAGCTGAGCTCGGTTTTTACATACATACTGATATCATTTAAAATACAAAAAAAAATATTAAAAAAACACAATAGCACAAATAAAACGCACCAATATTTGTCCAATCAGATTTTTGTTTTTAAGCAATCATCCTATTGGCTAGTCAGCTTTTCGTTTTTTTTTTTTTTTGTTCCATTTTTATGTTTGTTTTTTTATCAAAAACCAAAAAAAGGCTATGAATTTAGAAGGTTGTTTTTTTTTAAATGTTTTATATAAAAAACAACAATCATAAAAAGCTATTTTAAAAATAAAATATCCTATATATAAAAATACGACAACATACATATTTTTATTGTGTACATATGCAATATAAATGTTTTACAATACGTATTTTAGAATCGTTTTATCCGTTTCATACGCTCAACTGCTCAAGTCTCAACTCCAGGGTAAAAAAACGGGGGGAAAGTGTTTATGTATTGTACGTATTTTTTACAAAGAATGTATACTCATCACGGTTGACGGCGTCACTTGATGATGGCAGAGATATTTTAGATTCAATCTGAAGTTGTGTACGTTCTGTATGTGGAGTAAGTGTGAATAGGCCCCGGCGATACGGAGATCACGAATTTCGGATTTCCTTTCTGTGAAGTGCAGTCCTAAGCTGTCCTAAGTCCTAACCTCACTACATAAGTTAGACGTGCACGAGATAAACGTTCGATTCCATCGATAACTTTTGATAAATAAAAGTAGTAACTTTTATTTGGGACAAATCAATGGTCACATTTTTCAACTGTGCACTCGATAAATTGTCCTATCGTTGAAAATTATGGGCGAAGTGGCGAGGGTATTGGTAAATAGGCGCGACAAAAGCAACAGGACAAAATAATGAGATTACCTTGACTTGGAAAAAGTACTTATCCTACTATATCAGACTGTACCTATCAGCTATAAACGTTGGATTTTTATCGGTACTTTCTGATAAATAAAAGTTATAACGTTTAACCTACATATTGAGGTTAGGTGCAGACTTCAGTTCTACACGTTGCGGTCTGCACTCTGCTCCGTCTGCAGTGATAATACACCACTTTTGTATTACTTCATCGATCGACATAACGACAATCACGATTTTTACATATCGGCTGGGTGGGATCTCATCGAAGTTTTTTCCATAGAGACCCTGTAAAATAACCGGAAGGGTCCAGAGGGCTATATTTATGGAAAGACCCTAGGCCATTCTCCCCAGAAAAACCCCAGAATTTTGCATTTAGGTGTTCAATTGAAAGGGTTTAGGACATTCATGGCGAAAGACTGGCCCCTGGTGACTGGTTTTTTAAAGTAGCTATGTATGTGTATGCCTGTAATATTTATGTATGAATGTAGTCCAATTGCAACACTTCACTTATCCATTTCATTTCGCGTTGGGTTAGGTTGGGCAGCATTGGCCTAAAAGAGCCCCTTGTAGAATACCATACTAGTGCTAATATAAAATGAGAATAACGCTTTTAAACGCGTATTGAATTTGCGTTTTAAACGCGTATTGAGTTTCCGTTAATCTCATGTTGCTGTGTGAATGTAGACGTGCTAATCTGCTTATATATTCGACGTATTTACGTATAAAATTGAGTCCAGATTATTCAACTCGCCGGGGGGAGGAACTTTTTTCAATACAAATTAATAGTTATTAACCAATAGTCCAATACAGACGGGATTAACGTTTTCAGTCCCCATTCCCCAATCCCTACCATATCGGAGCCCTGAATTTAATATCATTTTTGTGTTCGAAATTTGAGTGATCTCTTGTATTTCTCATATTTCGGAAATTTTGAAGCGTGCCAATTCATCAGAGAGGAGAAATATAATGAAGCCATTAGAACCCCACATAGTGTATACACATGACCTTGGAACCAGCAACTGGAAAGATATCACTATTTTAGTTTATTAGTTTTGTTTCCTTTTAGTAGTATCTATTCCAATACAACAGGTGTCTAACGGCATCATGGTGCTTCATAAAGGTATTTGGATGACTGGTGTATTCTGTGGAGCGGATAGCAATACATATTGATTTCGAGTGTGTTCTGTGTGTGGAGCGGCTAGCATTACAGGTTGATCTGATTCACCTCGGGACCAGCTGTGTATTTCATCTATAAATTTAGTATCTGAAATTCTCTCATACAAATTATGTGTGCTGAACACAGAGTTTTGTTTTGAAATCGAGTGATATGTTGTTCGTTAATATACAATTATTCATCGCTATCGTGTCATTTTTAGCGAGCGCCGCTGCTGTATATCATGTAGGTGTCTTATCTATTGCGCTGTGCTTTATAATTCCACCTTGTGCTACACAAAATATTTTTGCATAGTATATGTGTGGTGGGTTGAATGTGCAATTTGTGCGAACTATTGTATATATTTATACATATATATATACATATACGTATATATATATATATATATATATATATATATATATATATGTGTGTGTGCGTGTGTGTGTAAATACGTATATATATATGTGTGTGTGTGTGTTTGTGTGTATGTGTGTGTGCCCATATGTATATCTATGTATATGTATATATATATCTATGTATATATATATATGTGTGTGTTTGTGTGTATTTACGTTCCTGTATAGATGTATAGATATATATAGCTAAACCGATAGATAGATCGATGTATGTGTGGCTGCGGGTGGGTGTGTACGTATGTATATATGATTTTATGTATGTATGATTATATCTATGTATCTATGTGTGTATGCATATATATATATATGTGTGTGTGTGTGTGTGTGTGTGTATTCATTATATATATATACTACCCCTATATATATATATATATATATATATATACTACTACTATATATATATGTACACTATATATATATAGTATAGTAGT